TTCTTCTTCATGGAAAAATAAGACATCCCCTGAAAATAAGACCTAGCATATCTTTGAGAGCAAAAATTAATATAAGACACTGTCTTATTTGGGGGAAACAGGGTAGTTGTCTGCATTGCTCTGGCTGTTCCTTGTTTCTGATGGGCTAGAGCAGGGCCAGCAACCTTTTGAGAGGGAAGAAGCAATCCTGTTCCTCACACAATTTAAAAATCATTCAAAAGCCACAAATATATATTTGCAAACAAATGAAACCACCATTATCTGAATAAAAAGTCTTCCATTGTACTTCAGCACCACATGGACCCAGCCAAAGAGCCGCATGCGGCTCACCAGCCGCAGGTTGCCGACCCTGGGATGACAGTATCACTTTTAATTGACCTTATTTATGTTAATTCAGAAATTTTACTCAGCATTAGAGAGGCATTGGAATGGGGAGACCACTAAATCACCTATGTGAACACCTAGCAATTTCCACTTTTAATGGACTTTCGTAGAGTAGTCCAGGATACATAAGGAAAAGACAAGTAAATGTGGCATATGAAATGCTGTATGAATTGTTTAGGGCATGGTACTTTAAGGTTCACGCTGTTTAATATGAGACATTAATTGAAAATCACCAGCCAATGAACCAGGCTGATTTGGTATCATCATGAACTCATCAAGAAAATGAGCTCATAGGCACGGCAGATGCACGTGGATACTAAGCATTGAGAGCAGAGGTTCTCAACCTTTGGGTTTCGACCCCTTTGGGGGTCTAATGACCCTTTCACAGGGGTCACCTAAGACCACCAGGAAACACATCCATATTTCACATATTGTTTGTGATGAATCATGATGCTTTAATTATGTTCAATTTATCACAATGAAAATATATCCTGCAAATCAGATATTTACATTATGATTCAGTACAGTAGCAAAATTACAGTTATGAAGTAACAATGAAAATAATTTTATAGTTGAGGGTTACCACAGCATGAGGAATTGTTTTAAAGGATCACGGCATAAGGAAGGTTGAGAACCACTGATTTGGAGGAAGAAAGGCTTTTTTGTTTTTATTTTAAATAAATCATTTTATTGGGGGCTCTTACAGCTGTTATCACAATCCATACATCCATCCCTTATGTCGAGCACATTTGTACATATGTTGCCATCATCATTTTCAAAACATTTTCTTTTCACTTCAGCCAAGTGGCTGGTTTGTTGTTGTGTTATTATTGTTAAAGGGTTGGAAAAAATTCCACTGAGTGAGTGGAAACTGAGCTGGGTATGGATGGTGGATGATGGATGGATGGATGGATGGATGGATGGATGGATGGATGGATGGATACATGGGCAAGATATGGACAAGAGACAAGAGAAGAAGGAACAGGGCTCTCTGAGGTTCTCCCAGCAGGTGCTCCTGGAGCCATGAAGGGGACATCCTGAAGAAAGAAAGTTAGAAGATTAATAGACCAGAAAGGAAACCAACTTTCACCCTCCACCATGTCTTCACCCATCAAGTTCAGGCAGAAAAAAAATATCTAAGTATCTGCCCTCTTTCCTTGAACAGCTCCCTCCAGCCAGGAATGCTGGCTTGTCCATTTTGACCTGTAGATTTTAGGCTAGTAACCCTGGACAGTTAGCAAGGATAGAAGCTCTCTGGCACCAAGACAACAGACGTAGGCTGCCTCTGTTATTTTGACGTCTTGGTGTGTTCTGGGTGCACGGAAACTTACAACGCTCTGGAAGACACCCAAAGCAAGGCTGCTGTCTCCAGTGGCCCGCTGTTCTTTGCCCTTGTTTCTGCTAATCACTTCAGGTTCACACTTTGCCTTGAGCCTCTTCTGAAAAACAACTTCCTCCTCTTGTGTTCTTCCCCGTCCCACTACCTTCCTCGTAGGGGTCAGCCAGAGGTGCACCAAGCCATTTGGTTGGGAAATGCTGATCTTGTCAGTACTCATGTACAATAAACTGAGATGAGGTCTGTTAGCAAGTTATCTTTGATCACCTGGGTAGGAGACTGAGAGGAGGAGAATTAAAGGCAAAAGAGAACAGTATTCAAGAACTCTAGATCTGAGAGCTGATTTTTGCCCCAAAGGCTCTGTGCCATATTGTAATGAGTCTCCAGGAGCAGGTGAATCCTTTCCAGGGAAAGGAGTTGTAATTTCAGGAGAAATCTAATGAGGCTTCACTTTTCCTTCAGGAAATCTTCCTTGGGAAGAGCTGCCCTTGCGAAAGGTGGTCTTGGCTTGTTTTCCTCCTCATGCCCCATCCCCTCTTCATTTCGAAGCAAATGAAACAGACTAAAATATAGTTCAATTACTTCCTTACCTGGTATCATCCTGAACTTTAGGGTTCATGCTCACCCAGATCTGGGGAAGAGTATGGACCTTTGACATGACCTTGGCTTTGCTAACTGCATACTTCGTTCTATCGTTAACATTCTCTAGATATGCTTACATATTCTGTGTTCAACAAAGACAGGCTTATGGTCTTTGCATTTGAGCTTTGGCAATCAATAATAAAAAATTTTTTAAAAACCAACTCATTGCCATCGAGTCAATGCTGACCCATAGTGACCCTTGTGGGTGCCTGGGACTGTCACTGTTTCTGGGAGTCCAAAGCCCAGTCTCTCTCTCTCAGGGTTCCCAGTGGTTTCAAACTGCTGACCATACAGATCGCAGCCCCACTCGGAGCCACTGCACCACGAGGGGCCCTTCAGAGGCCTCCCTCCAGCATGTGGAGGAGAGGAGACCGCTGATGGCCACCCCCAAGATAGGAAGGAAGTCCTTTTTCTTTGCGACAGAGCCCTAAACTAAATCTCTTTTTCTCTATTCTCCCAAGCTTCCGCAGGTTCACCCGATCCAACAGTGTGACCACAGCAGTACAGGCCGACCTGGATTTCCATGATAATCTGGAAAATTCTCTGGAATCTATAGAGGACAATTCCTGTCCCAGCCCGATGACCAGACAGTTTTCCCGGGATGCCAGCACTTCGACGGTTAGCATCCAGGGCTCAGGAAACCATTATCATGCCTGCGCGGCAGACGATGACTTTGATACAGATTTTGACCCCTCTATTCTGCCTCCCCCTGACCCTTGGATTGACTCCATCACGGAAGACCCGCTGGAAGCCGTTCAAAGGTCAGTGTGCCACCGAGATGGCCACTGGTTTCTGAAACTTCTGCAGGCGGAGCGCGAGCGCATGGAAGGGTGGTGTCAGCAGATGGAGCGGGAAGAGCGGGAGAACAGCCTGCCGGAGGAGAGTAAGTAAAGGCGCCCCCAGGAGTGGGGCCGGGTGACTTTGGGTTGTTAAACGGAGTTATCGTCCACGCTCCGCGGGAACGTGTCCACGGTGAGGCCCCTAAGCTGGCCCCCCACCTCCCGGCCCTTGGGCCTTTGCGCTGCCCAAGAACACGCCACCCCACGAGCCCGCGGGATGCCTCCCTAGCGCTCCCGGGACAGGGCAAAGCTCCTCTGCAGACGGTCGCGGGTTCCTGCCATCGTTCCTCTTCCCCAGATCCGCCTGCCCTGTTGCCGATGCTCCGAAACAGAACACTAAGTCATGCTAACAAGTTTCCAGGTAGCGAGATGCATGTGTGTTGGGCATTGAAAACCTTCATGTGTGTTACTTTCATGAACGTACCCAATTAAAACAAGGCTAACAGAGAGGAACCCACACCCCCACCATACACACGCACGCACGCACACGCTTGCTTACCTCCTGGTTGCCTGGTTAGCATGCCCTTTGTTTTTAGGTTTGGGGGGAGACCAGGGTTTGTCGAGACTAGAGAAACAGATGCACTGACATACATACTGTAGGCGAATACAGAAGTGTGGCTCTCAGGGTTCCACGTCCTACATGCACAGGTGGATGGGGAGCACAACATGTTTAAACGTGTCTCCTGTGGTCCATGGATGGCTACAGACAAGCTCTCTCAAGAACACACGTGTCAGTCTGGTGAGGGTGCTTTCCAAAACAGATCCCATCAAAACATGACGGGGAGACATGTCAGGTCAGAAGTTGATGGCAATTATTTTGGGGGGGTATGCCCAAGGGGTGATCTTGATAGATTCCTCTCAAAGGATGTGGGAGGATTGTGGTGGGTTATTATGAAGACATTTTAAGACAATCAGGAACTTCATTGGTGAGAAAAAGGCCAGGCAGTTGCTCTGAGGAATTGTTCCCCCTCCATCCCCCACAATGCACCTGCTCATTCTCGAAGAGTCGCCAGGTCTGTCCTAGGAGAATTGTGTTGGAGGACTTGACCCCATCCACACCACAGTCCTGAGCTCGCTCCTTCAGGCGCATTTTTGTTCTCCAAACTCCAAGAACATGTAACATGAGGACAAAGGGGGCTCCGGAGGTGCCCACACTGCCGTCGGGCATGGCAAGAAGCACGCCTGCAGAATCCTTCAACAAAGCATCAGCGGAAGGGGAACATTGCCTATTTTGTTTTTAACATTCGCTTTAGAAAGGTACAGACCTAGTTGGAGGAGATGCCAGGAAACGGTAGATTCAAATTTTGATGTTTTTGTTTAATGAAATTTTCAATGACCTTATAGCAATACTTTTTTACTTACCCTGGTTTAGAGGGAGAGTGAGATTTCTTTGAAGGAACTGGCCCACATCATTATGGGGTCTAATCGGTCTCAAAACCTGAGGCAAGCTGGAAATTTCAGCATATTGATGTGACATTCTTGAGATTGAATCCCTTCTTTGTGGGAAAAGGCAGTAGTTTTGCGAAGGCCGTCAATTGATTGGCTGAAACCCTCTCCCATGAACAAGAATAACCTTTCCTTAGAGGGAACTGATTACAAATAGTAATGCCACCTGCAAAACACCTTCAGAGCAACTGCCGGGCAAGTGGTTTGACCAAAGAGAGGGCTCCACACCTCGCTAAATTGACACATTGAGATGAACCCTCCCAGGCGCAAACCTTCCAGGCCTAAAGTAATTCACCCAGATTCCAATCCAGTGCATTAAGTTTAATATCTTTAGGAGTCATTGTTTAAAAATTGAGCTTTTGAATAACAATTCCTACTGAAAATTAACAAAGAAAAATGTCCTGATGATCCCAGTTCCAGAAACAAGTTCTATCCATTTGCAACAATCCCAAAATTTGAATATACTTTATCATCAGTGTAGATTTTAATAGTTCTTCCCCCCTCTGAAAAATACATTATTAAAGAATGGTAGGCCTTCTAGTTGATCATTTGAACCAAGGAAACACGTTGGTTTGTATAAAAGCTGCCTTCGCCTTTATGTAGAGATGCCTACAAATAGATTGTCATGATGTAGCTTTTTTGATCCATTTTTTAAACTACTATGTTATCTTGTATTATGAGGAATGTTGAACCTGCAAAGTAGAGTTGACTATAATGAATCCCCTGGGCCCTATCACACACTTACCTTATCTTCGTTTTGACTTTCCCTCACTTCCTGTTATTTGTGTCAGAGTTTTTGTTTGTATTTTCTTTGAAGTTTATTTACTCGTGTGTTCAGAACATACACACATACAAAAACCCGTACCCTTACTTAACAGTTGCTATGGGTATAGTGTAGTGATTGTGTTGTTTGAAGGGTGCAGCCATTCTCATCATTACCGTAAACTTAACTGCCCCTAAAGCTCCTGTCTAATTAGTCCAGTTGTGATTGCCAATTTGCACCCATAGAGATCGATCATAGAAGAACATAATGCTAAAGACAGACTTCAAAAAATAAATAACTAGTTAAGTTAAACTATTATTAGGTTTTAAGAAGATTTGGGGAGATGTGTTTTGCTTTAAGGTTTAAAGATGATCTTAGGGCAATAGTTTCAGGGGCAGCCACCCTCCATAGCTCCAGAAAGTCTAGCTCATGAAAATGTGCCATCCTGTCCTGAATTGTCCCTGCTTTGATCAGGTTGATTCTATGGCACCCTTCATCAGAATGTTCAGTAATGATCTCTGAGCACCGTCCATCTCTGGGGAGAATCTCATGGGAGCAATCTGCCGCCTATTTGATATCCTCCTCCTACTCCCTACTCTTGCTGTTCCTTTGTCATTTCATTGCAAAGAGGCCAATAGGGCTGCTAACAGCAAGGCCAGCCGCTCAAATCCACCAGCCCGCTCCTTCCTATGTAAAGAATTACAGTCTCCAAAACCACCGGGGCAGTCCTACCCTGTCTGCTGGGTCGTCGTTCTGAGTCAGAATTGACTCAGTGACCGTGTGGCATAGGACAGGCGCACGAAACATTATTAGGCCAATGAACTGGGATGCCCCATGAAACCAGGACTCTCAACCTCCAAACCAAGCAACCAACCCCGTGAGGTCGGGGCTGTGCAAAAACAGCCTCAAGTTTAAGAAGATTTGTTATTTTTTTATGATTGTGGTAAATATATGTCACACAACTTTTGTAAATTCAATTGTTTACAGGTGTACAACTTATTGACAGTCATTAAATAGTTGGCGATGGAACCCTCTCCTTCATTAATATGATTTCCCCATTAGCCCTCCTTTCCTGTCCCTCTCCCACCCCTGGTAAATACTAATAAACTTTGCTCTCTGTACATTTGTCTTGTCTTGTCTTTTTCTATAAGTGAGGTCATACAATGCTTGTCCTTTTGTGATTGACTTATTTTGCTTAGCATAATGTCTTCATGCTTCATTCATACCGTAGCACGTAGCAAGACTTCATTTCTCCTGTTGGCTGAGGAGCAATCCATTGTATGTATGCTCCACCTTGTGGTATCTGTTCATCTGTTGACAGGGATGTAGGTGTTCACCTGTGGCCTATTGTGAACAGTGCGGTAATGAACATTGGTGTACAAGTCTCTGTTTCAAGTGTTTGTGGTATATGCCTAAGAGGGGAATTGCTGGATCATATGGTCGTGCTTTTTTTTAGTGCCTGGGGGAACCACCGCACAGTTTTCTGCCATGGCTGTACTATCTTGCATTTCTACCAGCAATGGCTCAGGATGTTTATTCCCCTGCACCCTTGCCAACAGTTGTTATCTTCCATCTTGTTGCTGTTACTGCTGTTTTCAATCTGATGTGCCAGAATATGATAAAGGACGCCCAGGCATCGTGTCATTGCACTTTGCAACCCACACTTAGGGCATTAAAAAACCAGATCACTAACATACTCTATTGTCCCTAACAAAAACAACAACGTCTTAATAGTTAGATCTGGGTGCCACTGTACTTCAGTAAAAGAGACCATATAAGGTATATCCACGAGCCGTGAGGTTTTTGGTTTTCCTTAATATATTCTTAATGAAGACTAAGCTGGGGAAGCTAACAGTTAACCAGTTAGGGAATTTCTTGCCTTGTCCACTGTCTACACACGGCTCCTTCTGTGCTGGTTCCTGCGGCTTGGGACATTAACAGACGGCTCACTGGCTTATCTGTGGCCTTTACGAGCAGGTTCGAGAACTCGGAGATGCGTGTCTGTAAATTTCCTTTGGCTCTCTCAAACTTGGATTGCAAAGAACGTAGCAGTGGCTAGGTACCTTTCCTTGACACTTGCTCGACCTGTTGGTTCCACTGCAGACCCACCTGAGTGTGTTGTACAAACAGAATTAGCTCTACGCCTGGGGGTCAAAGGAGACTGAGGTCTCTGGTGGTGCTGAGGAAGTCTTAGGAGGGTCATTTTCTCACTCTCCTTTTTCCTGTGGATGTACACAGAGTTTATCAGAATTTTCCCAGGGGAAAAAAGCCAATGTTTAAGGAGTCCTGGTGGCAGGAACTGGCAGGAAGCAGACCTGGAATTAACTAACTAAAGGTGAGACAGCTGCCAGAGGATTCTAGCCTTGGAAACCTGGGACAGTTCTACTCTGTAGAGTTGCTAGGAATTGGACCGACTCAACGACCAAGGCTGCGGAACAGCACGAGCTAGTTTTCAGTTCCTGGTCAAGGATGAAATACACACTGACGAATGGAGAGTCGGGAGTCTGGTGGCGAAATGGGTTCTGCTTTGGGCTGCTAACCCCAAGGTCAGCAGTTTGAAACCACCAGCCTCTCCTCAGGAGAAAGATGGGGTTTTTCTGCTGTTGTAAAGATTGACAGCCCGGAAAACTCACAGGGGCGGTTCTACCCTCCCCTATAGGTTCTCTAGGAGTCAAAAATGGACTTGATGGCAGGGAGTTGGGGCTTTATTTCTTTTGTTTGTCAGTGATTAATTTGGGGCTGGTGGGTTTCCAATAAAGCCTAGGGAAGGTTCCTATCGGATGTTTCCTTTCCATTGATCTTCCACTTCGAAACTAGACCTCCTTCTCCCAAGAT